TCTTTCGAACTTTTCTGTGAGGTCATTCATAGAGATTGTTGGAAATTTCCCAAGGAAAAAGATGTTTTGATGGACTCTTGGAGACAAGTCAGGGATACCACAGGGTGTTTGCTGAAGGACAACTTCTCGCTAGGACAACATTTTTGTTGGCATAGAAACATGTATACAGATGACTGATAGACCCTGTAGAAATGTGGCACATCTTTTACTTGCCTCACTGCTTCTAGCATCACAAAACAAAATTAATTTAAGGGTTCAAACATCTTTATTCTCCATGTCTCTAACAATTCCAGTGAATTGCCTTAGGAAAAGGGAGAGAAACCAAAGCAACAGCTAGAACAGGGGGGCTCTGTTTTGCAGAGGGATCTGCTTAATTTTCTTTTTTTTTTCTTCACTTGTGTTTAAGTACCCTTTTACAAATATAATCAAAGACTACGATCTGTACCTTTGCTAATCAGCTGTGTCTTTTCCATTAATCTAAAAAAAAACCTAGAAGGACTAAGAGAGAGTGATTATATTCTTAGTTTTGCTGTTTCAAACTATAATACACTTGGTTTTGGATGACACTGGGAAGCTAAATGTACACATCAAAGCCTCAACCTGTTAAGTCTTTGCATATGCCGGTTGTTAGTTTCTTGAACAGGAATAGTGAGAAGTCCTGTGCACCGCAGGATTCCTAGTTAATTCTTGGAAACAACAAAAATAGGACTGAAATATTCCCTGTGCCTTGCATTAGGCTTTTGCACGGGATTGAATTTCATGCAGGAAGACCAGCATGTGGAAAGAACATCAGAGCAGGTGTGGGTGATCATGCGTGTCCAAAAGGAAGTTATTTCTGCTCATAATAAAGAGTCCAACATCCACCTATCCAACATCCACCTATTCAACATCCTAAGATGTCTTTGCTCTTCTTGTTTTTAGTGAGCCGCTTCTCACCAAAAGAATGTAGTGTACACATGAAGTGTGGTCCTTAGCATACAGATGGGACATTTGGCTGTTGACAGGCTTTTTTTGGCCCTGCTCTACTGCTAGGCTTTAGCCAATTAGTTACGACCGCCAGTGTCTGCAACAGTTCAACTCCAATTCCCCTGTTCTGTTCATCACCTCTTACTTTGTATTTAAAGAACTCCGCATTTTCCCTTGAGGCAGCAGTACGTTTATGCTGATTCTAGATTTGGATCTAAGTCAGGGCAAACAGTATGTTTTACTAGGCCCTCAGTGTTGTGCGAAAAAGCTGGCCAACAGTTTTTACATGACCAGACCTGTCAGAATAACATCGCTGCCAGAGCGTGGAGGACTTTTACTCCCATGTGGCAGGGTTCAGCTTATTCTTATGTATGTGCCATTTTCAATTTAGCTCTAGAACTTGACCAAAGTGCCCTGAAAATGACAGCAGCCAAGCAGTTACTTTACAAATTTGTTATTTTTCTGCTCGCTGCTGACATAATCTCAGAGATCAGAACTCTTTGGCTTTGCAATTCAATGCAGAATTTAGGTCTCAGCAATACCGTGGGACCATGTATCTAGCCATGAACATTTCTGCTTTATATTTTGGAAAAAAAAAAAAAAAATCCTAATCCTCTGCACAGCACAACCAACCTTATATTTAAAGGACCATGTCTATTAAAGATTGTTTAAGGGTAGGTGAAGACCAAGGGCGGTCTTGATTTATTTTTACCTCTGCCACAGATTTTCTAAGATCTTTGGTCAACTAATTTTATACTTTTTCATAGTTTTCCTGGCTGTGTAATGACTGTACTAATACTTACCTTTTCCGTCCTGCTTACATAGATTTTTGACATTTTAAGGCAAGGGTGGGACCTGCATTTGTATATACAGTGTCTTGCACAATGGTTCTCCAGTCTTGGTTGAATCCCCTTGGCACTGCTGTAATAAAGTTAATGACTGGTTTTGACTGTTCCTTCTGGTGCAATTCTTTTGTACCCAACCTATAGAAAAAGCAGTAAAATTTCAGGCTCAGCCTGTTGACAGAATATTGCTGCTTTGCGGGGCAAATGTTCATAGGGTTAGGGCTGTTGTCTCCTGTTGCTTGCTGAAAGGAAAGCAGCTGGGGCACCCTGGTGCTGGAGGAGCTCCATAGTGTTATATATGCTGTTGTGCGTGCACATACACAGTGACATAAGGTGGTGAGAAGTCCTGGAAATCCCCAGGATCCACTTCCCTTAGAAGTGGATGAGCTCCAGCTACTGTCCTTGAGCTTTTAACCTGCTCTTCCCCACTGTCTGTGGTTGGTTCCAAGTGCCTAGATGGATGCTAAAAGATATGCTTTCTATGGTTGGGATCCATAAATGTATGTAACAAATGCAAATAGTGTATATGTACTTCCCTGCGCCCAGCAATGCTCTTGATTAGGAGTGATGCAGATAGCTATAAAGGTCTCCTTTGATAATGAATTGAGTCAGAGGTACTTCCAATGAGAATATAATATTTTCCTCTCCAGATTTTAAGCCCTGATGAGGGTTATGAAAATAAGTCTCTTTATGACAGTTGGCTTGAGAAAGACCCTGCAACTGAAAATAATAACTATCCCAGGTACGTTGTTAATCTGTTTTTTTCTTTCCCAATATTTTCATCATATCATAGCATGGCTGCTCTCCAGAATTTTTCAAGATGTGCTATTGATGACAGCAATACAAAACCTTTTAGTACAAGGTGACTCTCTAGAAATATCTTTTAAAGTAAAATAAAATAAAATTTTATTACTTTTTTTTTAATGATGGTGACATCTATGCCTGCTATAAAATGAAACCTCACACTTTTTAAAGGCCTTTTATTAGTAGAAAAGCAATTTGGAAAGCAGTCAAAAAAGAGCA